TATACGTATATATATATATACATCTATATTATTATGCTCACACCCCCATGATCTACCTTCACTCTACCTGTATATGTTCAAGACATACCTATATGTATGTGTAAATATGTGAATAAGTAAATCATTAGATCAATGTGCATGTATCTTGACTGCTATTGCGTTTGATCTTTAGACTTTAACTTTTTTAGGAAATCACGCAGGTTTCCACTAACCCCCCAAAAGTTAAACTTTTGCAGGGGGTCAACAGCAACTAAGGTATTATTCATGTGTACGCAGCCATATGGCAGCCTTTGCCCGAGGTGAAGGACCGTAAGGCGCCGGAGCCCGAGCTGCAGCCGCTGAAGCCCTCGGCGGAGCCTTTGCCACGCTTTTCGGGTCGGTCGGTGGAGTTCCCTTTGGGTTTTCCGCAGGGCTTCCCCCTGAAAAGCGGGGTTTTAGGTGTCCCCCTCAAAAAAGACTGGGGTTTTTAGGGTGTCCCCCTCAAAAAGGGCTGGGTTTGGGGGGGTTGATTTGCCCTTATTTCACGCAATAGGAGATTGATGGGTTTCGGATACAAATGCCGGGGTTGGTTTTGGGTTTCCATTTGAGTTCTCAAAAGCTGGGGGGCTGGGGGGGGGAGTTCCGAAAAGAGGTGGGTCTCCCCTGAGCTTTCTTGGCTTCCCGTACAAAATGCAGTTGTTTGGGGTGTTGCTTTGGTTTCCATTGCGATTGTGGATTGGGGTTTGGTTTCTGTACACCTTGTGTTTTCCTCCTTGTTGGCGCTTCAAAAGCGGGAACCTGTAAGAATGGTGGGCTTTACTTGTGGGCTTCCTCTTACCAATTCTTGCCAAATTGTGAGTTTGCCCCTGGTCCCTTCAAAGCAACCCCAAGAAAGGTGCCCGTTTGAAAAAAAAGTACCTGGTGGTTCGGGAGGGCAGCTTTTGGGCAGGGAATTGGTTGTGCCTTCTTTAAATCCCCCTGTTGAACAGGATTTATGTTGTTTGAAGAGGAATCACCAGTGTATCTTGGAGTCAGAAATTCAAGTATCCAAGCAGCGCAAATTCTGGAGGGTCCGGTGGCAGAAAAGAACTTGGACTTCAGAACTGCCAGGAGCCCACCCCTGCGCGGTCTGGCAGGGGCTATGGCCGGGTATCCGAATGCGCATGGTCAACATGGGTCTGATTTGACATGCAGATGGGGTACTGTGGCTTTTGAAAGTAGTTTAAGAAGCTCAGAAGGATTCGGCAGCTTAGCTGGATTAGAGCCAGCCCGTAAGGAGGTGAGAAGCAGTCCAACAAGGATCGTCCTGATTTGTTATCGTCATGAAACATGGCCCTTCGGCAAGGTCTTCAAGTAGGTTTCAGGATATGGCAAAGGGGGCTGTTCACAGAGATCCCTGTTATGGCTTTCCGCACAGGTGCCTGGCCTGTAATTGTCAGTAGCTTGCCATCATGTTGCCGAAAACAGGAGTATTTGCCTGGCACTGGGGCTTTCTCGCAGGGGGGGGGGGGGGAATTTGGGGAGACCCAACACAGAGGCATCACTGTTTTCTTTGTTACTAGGAAAAGATCCATCCCCAGTGCTGTCAACTGGATCTTGAACAGGAATTGCAACATGCTTGCAATGTTTGGTGGCATTTTTCTTGGAATCAGAATCGATGGCGGTATTTATTTTGAACTAATCAACATACCTTGCGATATACATTTGTGCAACCACTTTAAACAGATAGCCACTCTAAACGTCAAAGAGCTGGGAGACTGCTTTGGACATTCATGCGGAGCACTGACGTCCTGTTCTTTCCCAGGGCTTGATGCATTTGGTTCCCTTGGACACGATTTGTGTTTTGGACAAAACAGAAAACAACATTCCTTGCGGGAAGAACACTTAGCGCGTAGTACTCGTAATCTCTGTGTTCAGCAAGCAAGGAATCGACGCTTTCTTTTGCTTTCCGCGGTAAAACCTACGGTCTCTTGTTTTTTGAGGGTCCAGGGTCCTGCCTTCAGTTTTGCCGGCGGTTCATTGCTTGGCAGCAAGAGATTTCAGGCAATTTGTCTCAGAGGTGTTTGCTAGTTCTCATGGTAACTTCCTCTGGGAAGCTGACAAGGTCCAATGTGCTTAACAACACAGAAGACTGCCCGTGACTGCCTTTGGGACGAGGCACCGGTGAAGCAAATTCGAAGGCGGTGTCAATTCAAGGCCTGCGGATTAGCAATGGGTCTGAGGGTTGGCTTTGGCTCCAGGTCATCCTTTCAAGCGCCCAACAAAAGTGGACTCAGAGGAGAGCCAACAAGATACCAAGTACATCGGTTCCCCAAGTCACTGCCGTGCGTTTGGCAATAGGATGAGCAGGCATGGGCGCATAGTTCGGCGACCGAAGGTCAGTGACCAGCAACCCATTGAAAAGCTGTGCCAGCAGATCCCTTTGGACAGGCATCTACAAAGATCCCAAGCGCGTCGCCTCAAAGAAGCAGGCGGGGCCATGTCAGACGTCATAGAAGAATCGGAGACACCAACCTTCCACACAGCGTCAAGGAGCCTGAGGAGAGGCCGCAGCGCACACTACTTGGCCGTGGTTCATTCGGGTACCCACCCCACTTGTAAGAATTAGCTCAGGTGATATCCCCAACAGCATGCGGTGCTCTTTTTAGTGCTCGCCCCACCCCGCAGTCCTTGCAGAACCTCGTGGAACCCTGGTGGAACCCTGGTGGAACCCTGGTGCAACCCTCGTGGAACCTTACCTCAGGGCCGCCCCGGACCACCCCGGAGCCTATCTGGGCTGAGACCCCAACCCTACTAAAATAGACTACAAGAAAAAGGGTACCCTTATTCTAACCTCGCTACTGGAGGACCTAGAAGATAAAGGGGCATGGGGTTGTTCCAAGGTCCATGGAGGACCAGTGTTGTTTCTTGCTCATGGCGCGGTCTGCAAACTTTGGTTCAGGGGTTGCTGCGAGCTGAGGACACGCTGCTCCGGGAGGTGAAGACGGTCCGCGCCAAAGGTGCGCAGGAGCCCAGGGCGAGAGGGGCGTGTGGGGGTGGGGTGGGCTGGGGTGGTAGTCTTCACAGATGCTCACACGAGATTCCAGGCTGAATGGATTGAAGCCTGGTGTGGATCTTGTTTTGTGTCAAGTTCCTGTCCCAGAACTCTTGTGTTGCAACATGGGAACTCAATCGACATGCGCTTCTATGCCCAGCATAGCATGGCCTCCTAATTCAGGAGGATGAGGACGACGATGATGACATTCCACCACTAGACAGCCGTAGATAGGTTTACAATTGCACGTGCATGTTTTTTGACAGCTTCTTCCGCAAACGGTCTGCGGAGCGTTTGAGGAATGCCCAGTTTGCACCATATTTCACAGGTGTTTGCCGCGACTCGGCTTGACTATAACTTCTGTGCAGAATTTGCTTCATCTAGTCTCACGTCCAGCTGCAAAAATGCAGAGGGAGTCAAACGTGCGAGCGAAACTGGTGCCACCAAGCCGTGAGATGCCCCCAGAATCGCCGCAGATTGTTCAGCCTTTCCGCATGCAAGATTTGCGTTTTCTCGCTTTGGATGGTTTTGAAGGACAACCAGAAGGAAGAGAAACCGTCCCATTAGACTACTTTCTGCTTTGTTGGGTGAGCTGTAGTCAGTGGTCATTTGGAACTGTGAAGCTCGTGGGAGAACCATTCGCCGTTTGGGTGGGATGGTATTCCAGCAATTCATTTTCATTACGATGTTCGGTGACGGGGATGCAGTGTATGTACCTACTTATTGCACACTCTGCACAATCTGTCCTGACTATTTAACCTATTGTGATGCGGAGTTCCTTGCGAGAGGGACCCGCATGTACCAGCAGACCCACTTGCCTTTGCAAGCCTCGTGTTCGGTCTGGCTCAGCGATGCTCAGCTGGGTTGCCTCTCTGTCGCGGCATGGCCGGCCCCTGAGCAAGTTTCCGTTCCGAGCGCTCGGAACCCGGGGTTTGCCTCAAAATGTGGACCCCGCATATTGAGCGCTGAAAAGGAAGCTTGTTCCCAAGTCAGCCAAGAGGAAACCGAAAGACAGCCAAGAGGAAACCAGTCAGAGCCCGCGTTCAGTCCAGTCGGCAAAATGGGTGTGGGCCAGCAGGGGACCACAGGTTTTAGGCCATGTTTCCATTTACCAGGGCTCCATTTTGGACAGCTATTTTTGACCCACAGCCAAATTTGGACGAGGCCGACAAGAAGGCCCAGCTGACCCCTGAGGAGGCAAGTTGGGGGGTTCGGTGGGCCCGACGGTGTGTTCTGCACATTGATAGCGTTCCCCCCAAATAATAAATACATGACGGTGGTTGTCAAAACCAATGGGATCCCATTTTGGTTGGTAGGTGCACCACCCATTTAGTCTATTTTAGTGGAGATTGGGATGTTCACCGGACATACGATTTGGGTTTTGACCCATGCCCACATGATGTTTATGAATAGGGTGCATTTTTGCCCGGGCCAGAAAATCGTCCAACATGGCAACTTCTGAGCAAGGAGTTCGGCGGGAAGCTTGCGGGTTTAGAATTGGGAGATTTGGGGTCTGGGAACAAACATATTTATAGATAGGGTGCATTGATTAACAGCGGGAAGGGATGAGTTAGTTGGTGTGGGGCTCGTTTCTTGACTTGGCTGGTGCTAGGGCTCTGCGATCTTGACGAACTTTTGTTTGCGGTCTTTTGACCAGCCGGAAGTCGGGTCATACTCGTTTTGACACATCCCTATTCAATCCACTCTTTGCGAGACCCGTTTTTCAGAGAGATCCGTGTATCCATCGATTGCCGCTGCCACGGGTGATTTGAATGAAGCCAATGGACTTGAATGCATGCAACGCGCAGCTGGCCGGCAGTGAGGTCTCATTGAAGAAAACACAAGACACTTTGTCAGCAGAGTGATATGTGTGTTTGAAGTCACCCTCTCAAACACCGCAGTCACACACGATGCGAGCTGCAACAGCTGCGTTTTTGTTTCAGGAGGTCTGGCGCCCTGAAACGCAGCAAGGAAAACGGCCAGCCTGGAAGCCACAGGTCCGGCGGAAGTGGGATGAGCTTCTGAACGTGATCAACAATGTGGCCACCACTGCAGGCCGCTGTTGGCTCTGGGCTGTGTAGGATCGCATGTCGGGAGAGGTGGGAGGATGGTAGGGATAGGTATCCGGGAAGCAAGCACATGTATTGGGCATCCACAACAGCCTTTAGGACAGTTTGGGGCTGTGGCCTGCAGGAATTAGTTGACTGTGTGGGTGAGGGGTTTAAATTCATATTCGGCAGAAATTAACCAAACAAGAGAGGAAGGGAGGGAAGGAAGGAGGAAGACAGAAAGAACAATATGGAAGACCGCAGGAAAAAGAGGAAAGGCATAAAACAAGAAATAATAATGGAAGAACGCAGGAAAAAGAAGAAAGAAGACAGCAAAGAAGAAGGGAATAATGCCCGAAAAAGAAGAACACAAGAAAAAAGAAAGGTGGAAAGCAGAACACATCGAGAAGGAAGAAAGGAACAATGCAAGAAAGGAATAACACAGAGCAAGAAAGCAAGACATCAAGAAAGAAAGCAAAAACAGACGAAAGGAAGAGAGGAAGAGAGGAAGACAGGAAGAAAGGAAGAAAGGAAGAAAGCAAGAACGGAAGCACGGACGAAAGGAAGAGAGGAAGAACGGACGAAAGGAAGAGAGGAAGAAAGGAAGAATTGAAGAACGGAAAAAAGGGGGAAAGTAAGAATCGAAGAAAGAAACAAAGGAGAAGAAAGCTATGAAGCAATAAGTTTCAGAGGAGTCCAGGAAGCTTTTGCTGCGTGGAGCTTGTCCAATTGACCCGTGATGGCCGTTTGTTGGGCCCGACACTGGCAGGTTTTGAAGTCAACCTCCTGTAGGTCTTTGGAAGGCTCTCACAACTTGGGAGCCGGAGGTGTCTCGTCCAAAATCCAGTCGAGTGTTGCAGGGCTTCACTCCCCGTATTCCACCCGCCTTTTCCCTTTTTGAACCTTGCCCTGAGAGGCGCGAAGCCCGCCCAAGCGACCGCCACTTTCTCACCTCCCCTGCGCAGGTGAGACCCCGGAGTCTCCGGCCAGCGCGTCAGGCCTGAAGCGCAAGCGCCAGCCGACGGCAAGACGAAACTTTTCGTTGGCTCAACAAGAAGCACCCTACCAGGGTACAGGTCGCATAGTTCATTCTCAGATGCAGACTCCTGCTGCTCTTGTTCTCGTGTTTCTTAGCGCAGGTGTTGAGATCATGGGAGCCCCCCATTTGCCAGCTGCAGATTGGGGATGCCACCAGCAAATATAGTCACAAGGGCATTGTCCACTTCCCACCAGAGGAATCTAGGCGATGTGCCAAAAACCATAGAGCCCTTCAAAATGTGTCCTTTTGGATCTGCCTTTCAAGCCAGTTTCGAGGCCATGGCCATGGCTCGTGTAAATCCAGAATCGTCTGGGTTGCGGCAGCGCCGCAGTGATGGGGGCGTGAGAGGCGTGACTTGCCTGCCTTCCGTGTTTGACCAGGTGGATTGCTTCGCCGTGAAGCAAAACGTGGAATACTTCGAAGCAGTCACTGGTATTGAGACGGAGAACTCCTACCAGGTCCTCGGCGCTGTGCAAGGGCGCCCAGTTTTTGGTCCTGTTGCCGCCCAAGAAAGCTCCGGCTTCCTTGCAAGGATGTGCTGTGGCAATCGCCGGCCGTGGATCATACGCCTTGGACCAAAAGACCCTGTGCTGGTGGTGAAACGGCCTTTCCGCTGGGCCTTGCAGGAAGTTGAGGTCTATGGCAACGAAGGACTGCTATTGGGAACAGTGAAACGCAGTTGGAGGGGATGGCCCTTACAGCGAAATTTTTTGATCAAGGATCAGAATGGTGAGCTTCAACTGCAGATAGCCTGTCCGTTCCTTTCCTTTGGCTGGAATTTCACGGTGGAAGACCTCGATGGTGCGGAGCTTGGCAGAATCTCGAAGAAGCTCAGCCTCTCCGCCAAAGGCATCGCGCAGGAGCTGTTCACAGACGCGGACAATTTCGGTTGTGAATTCTCTGCTCGCTTGTCGCCAGCGTGCAAGGCATTGCTGCTCGGAGCCGTATTCCTCATCGATTTCTGTTTCTTCGAAGACAACGAGGTCCAGCACCAACAAGGGCGGCGGCGTCGCTGAGGGTGGCCTGCCGCGGCCGAAACCCGCTCTTGCCGTGTTTCGATCTCCATGAAGTTCAGCTTGTGGCCTTCGGCATTCACATGTCTCTGAGAACTCCCGATCGACCCTGGGGTCCTCGGAGTCCGGATGGACCGTACGCGCCAAAGGGCCCCGCGTCAAAATTCTCCAGGGATACTCCCCTTGAGCCTTTGGAAGGCGATGCCAGAACCTGAGTGCCCATTTCTCCTTCACTAAGCTCAGTAAACCCAACATGTGAGGAAGGACATCCGTGTTTCGCATTGCACATATTTAGCTTGTTTCCCAACACATCTATTTGTGCAAGCACGATTGCAGCTATATCGAGTGCCATTGCCAGCTGTGACTTTTTGTGACTGTGGTTTCCTG